TATATATATATATATATATATATAGAGAGAGAGAGAGAGAGAGATCATATAGTCACTGTATGATTTAAAGGAAATCCGGGAAAAAATATATGTAGGAGTAACAGAATATCCTTGGAAACAGAGAAGCGTGTCACAGAAAACCTCGTTTGATATCTGAAATCTTCAAAATAGAATAACCCTCGGCTCATACCTCAAAAGCGACATGCCTTTTCATTTCCTGTTTTAGATTAGAAGCTGCTGTGTTAATCATCTCGATACATGTGAAAGTGAAATGACAATATTAGACTTTGGCGTGATATTACGTTCGATCGTCTTTCATTTATGGAACGCGAAATGTGACAAAGAGAAAACAATAAACATGGAATCGTCAGTAGAACAAACCAGTCAGCATAGCTAATGTTTACCAGCCTTATATATATATATATATATATATATATATATATATATATATATATATATATATATATCACAAACAAGAAAAGGAAATTAAAATCAACATGAAATTCAATATATATAAAAAGTCCATATAAACATATGTCCGCAAATCCTGCGTTGCTATGTAGTCTCGGTTACATTTGTCATTCGTGTACATTAGTGGCTAGCCTGTCTTTAACATTTAACGTGTTTAGAAGTAAGTTAACTGTGAATTGTCTCGTTTAACAATGGCAGGCTATTCATATCGTGAGCAGGCAAATACGATTTTTACATACAAGACATTAATGGACGCGAGGCTGCACGGCTGTTTATTGCCGTGTCGCTCAGACAGGATCCGTGGCATCACAAACGAGGTAGACCATAAACCGCACGTATATATATATATATCCTCCTGAAAAATTTATTTCGGTTGAGCTCTCTGGAGAGGAAGTGTGGGTTTGTAAACAGTGATTATTACGGCTAATAATGCAAGACCCTTCGCTAAAGCGAATGGAGTTCCCTTTGTCACTGTGTGTTTATCTAAAGATAAAAACGCTTAAACTCACCTTCATCCCTGCCGTGCGCCAACAGCTTAGGGGTAGAATCTCCGACTGACGCCAATTCAGCCGGGTTTCGATCCTGGCTAGAGGTAACCGGGTGTCTAGCCATACTGATGAGCTGTGATTCAACGAAACAGTTTGTCTGTGGATGACAATATATATATATATATATATATATATATATATAGCGAGAGAAAGAAGGAGAGAGAGAGATACAGTAGACGTTTATCTCCCTTTGGTGGATTTAACTCACGTGGGTCACATGTCAGCTGCTTACTGACGTCACTCCATATATTGACGAAAGCGGCATTCAGTTCGTTTTACAGCAGCAAACCGAAAGGTTGGTTTCTTTTTAGCTTAGGCCAAGAGGCTTACAAGTTCATATTGTCGTTTCCCTTTAGGGATATCTATTTCTCAGATATTAAACTCCGGCTGGCAGTCTTCACTTTGGAAAAATCCATGACTCGCTGTTTCCGGTTGGTGGAATATGTCCTCACCTGGGACATAGATGAATCCGCCTCGTTTGCATCTGGTGTTCTAAACGTGGCTTGTTTTTGTTTCTCATGGGCAGCAAATGTCTTGTTAAAAATGTTGCTTAAATAGAAAAATAGAGAGAGAAAATTAGTAAGAGAACTTGTATGACAATATAACTTTCCTCTGTTCGCAGGTCGAGTATTTTGCTACTAAAACAAATGTTCAAATTTGAAATATAACACTGTAAAAATATCACAAAAAATGCCGGAGAAAGCAAACACATACTACTGTTAAAAATAACATTATTCCTCGATTGATTTCTTTTTTTTAAGGCTTATCAACCTTTTCTAGGTTATTTAAAGACAGAAAATATTTTTAGATTGTAAGACAGTTTTTTTTTGTTTTTTTTTAGATAATAATGATTTTCTGTTATAAGTCCTCCTACTTTTATAGCATATTTCGTAGGGAGAAGTGGATGCATAACTTACCCAAGGGTATTTGCGCTAAAGATAAGGTTATCAAGTATGAAATATATGCTCCGTGTTCATTAGATAAAGAAGTTACTCATGGATTTCCTCTGCTCATTCATCATGTTTTGTGAGTGTCAAATTTACCAAGTATTCTTTCCTCATTATTTGTATTCTCTTCGATCTCTCCTACCAATTCATTACATGCTAATTCATTGGGAGAGAGGTCAGGAGATTAGAGAGAATAAGTCATAATTTCCAAAATTTTTTTTTCTTTTTGACTCGAGGTAATTTTGACATAACTTAGAAGAGTGTTTTAGATCGTTGTCTTGTTCAAAGGTGAATTTTGTTTCCAATATGCAATAAACCAGAAGGTGTAACAGGTCTTTGCAAAATCGAAATCCTTATTCGCTTGAACTGAATATTCTCCAGCCCTCTCTGTCCCAAACACACCTCCACGCCATAACAGACCCACCACCATGCTTAACTGTTGGAAACGCATTTTCATCATTCAGCTTTTCTTCTGGCCTTCTTCTCGCATACACTCTCCTATTACGATCCCAAAATTCAAATGTGGACTCGTTTCTCCACGATACATTGTCACTTTTTCAATGTATAATTCTTATGCCTTTTTGCCCATAACAGTCTTTTGTTTTATTTATATAGAATTCAGATCAAGGGAATCATGAACACACACACACACACACACACATATATATATATATATATATATATATATATGTACATTTCAATTACCCCCCTCCAAAACATCTATAATAATCCTTCTTCTTCTTCTTCTTCTTCTTCTTCTTCTTCTTCTTCTTCTTCTTCTTCTTCTTCTTCTTCTCAATTCAACTGATCCCCTAATTTTTTTAAGTTAAAAGATCTACATGTTATTTATCTTTTATTTTATTATTTTTGTCACACGTGTATTGGGCACTTTTTTAATACCGGTTTCCTGGTCTGATTTAACTCTGACCATTAACTTTATATATATATATATATATATATATATATATATATATATATATATATATATATATATATATATATATATATATATATATATATATTTTTATTTATTCAAAAATTAATACATAAACATGTTATAACATCACTATAAAAATAGCTATAAATAATATTTGCTCTACTTTGTATTGAGCACTCTTTTAGGAATATTATTTTTGGATATTGGAATTTATTCAGTCTACACCAATTCTATACTTGGATATATTTCGGTCGAAACTAGTCGAGGAATCTAAATGGAATAATAATAAAAAAAGAATATTAATCTACAATCCAGTGTGTCTAAAGATTTTAATTTTTTTTATTTTCTTATTGTTCAATATATATATATATATATATATATAGATATATATATATATATATATATAGATAGATAGATAGATAGATAGACTCTTTTTATGTAAATAAGTTATAAAAGCACGCACACCACCCTCTTTCTTTCTGATCTCAAATCTCAAAGTTTTCTTTTTCCATTATCATCTTCTCACGTCTTTGGAGACCGGCCGTCATTGGCTTTATGCGAAACCTTTATCCTTCATCTTCAAAATTAAAAGAGAAGCCTTGCTGTTTTCTTCATTTCTCAGAAAGATTAATTGGTCTGCATAACCGTGTGGTCTTAAAACTACAACAGACACTTAATCACCCACATCTTCACAAAACAGCCTCGACCGACAATTAGAAGCAATCAAGATGGGGAGGGGAAAAATAAAATTAAAAAAAAAAACCAGAAACGTCCGAGAAAGCCATTTTCTGTTTCCTAACAACTTGTTCGTTTCAAACTTTCCCTGCTGAGAGTCGCAGTTGCCATGGAAACTTTTTAATGTCTCCTGGACAAAAAACCATCGTTTACAAGTAATAAACTGTTTTTAACATATACGAGAGATCGAAGGGTCTTTTAAATAGTGTAAGACGTGAATTACGAGCTAAAAACTTGAGAATGAACTTTACTGATATTCATTGACTACTCGACCTTTTTCTTTGTAAATGGTAAACTGTGAAAAACAGTTTCTTGCTTTCTCTCTCTCTTCCTTTCTCTCTCTCTCTTATATATGTAACTAGCAGTAGAGCCCGGCGTTGCCCAGGGATGTAACAGTAAGAGATAGATCAAGTATCGACCATCATAAAGACTGAAAAATAAAATTGACAAAGATTATTGTTTAAGGTTGACGGACACGCATGTCTTAATTAGTTTTTGTTTTTACGAATTGGTCAAACTCAAACAAAAAGATTGTTTTCAATCGTTACCGATTGAATAGAATTTTATTATAAACAATTGTCTTGTAAATGGAATTTTTAAAGCATTCTGAATGTAAAAATAAAGAAAAAAGTGTGCAAGACAATAAGAAACACTACCTTCCAAAAAAAGTGAAGTTTTGTTGAAATCGGTTGAAAAATGTAGGAAATCCGATCCCATATATAAATGAACACACACACACGCACACACAACCTGGGTTTTATAATAAGTATAACTCGATATGAGTTGTCCCCCTTTCATTCTCGACAGCGATGCCTCTTCATCGTGTTTTCAAATTGATTTCGTGCAAAAAACAATTGTGTTTTTCCAATGTTTGGCGCTGTCAGAGCCACCGCAAGGTAATTTTACGTAGTCCTGTGATGTTTTGTTGAAATCGGTTGAAAAATGCAGGAAATCCGATCCAATATATAAACGTACACACACACACACACACACACACACACACACACACACACACACACACACACACACACACACACACACACACACAACCTGGGTTTTATAATAAGTATGATTATATAATATATAAAATAAAATAATACAATAATGATATCTATTAGTACTAACAAAGATTACACGGAAAATTATAGAATTTAACGTATATGAAAGTTAAAATTTCTGTTAAGTTCTCGTTAAAGATCTTCTATCCGGCAGTTCATTACTTGTTGCGAGAGAACAGTATCTCGATTTCATTCTTTTTTATCGATGAATATAAATGTATTTATTATGATTATAGTTTAATACATGTTTCTCGGATTATAGAAGTTATGTTTCTTTATATAATTAGATCTCATAGGTGTCGTGATGCTGACAAACAGGTGATGAAAATTCAGCTGTGTTTGGAATGTGTGTACGACAGCATGTGTTGTTTCTGATTCAACAGATTCGCCTGGAAATCTATCTATCTACCTATCTATCTATCTATCTATCTATCTATCTATCTATCTATCTATCTATCTATCTATCCTAGTCTATTCATTATCTATCTATCTATCTATCTATCTATCTATCTATCTATCTATCAGAGAAAGTTGAGTGTGTGGCCATGGTTCAATGTAAAATAAATGACAGGACTGATGCAATAATTATCATTAAATTGGATATAATAACGTTAAATACTAAATAAGGTAGACTCGAAAATTTCGTAATTTTTCAATCATTCATCTGAAGTTTTGAGATTTTTGTTACGAATCCAGATGAGTGATTGAAAAATTCCGAAACTCTGAGTCGACCTTCGCTAAGTATTGAACTCTTAGATCAAATTAAAATATATATATATATATGTGTGTGTGTGTGTGTGTGTGCCTCTCTCTGTGTGTGTGCGTGAAACTCCGTTAAAAATTGTAGAAAAATTCAATAGATTTAAGTATTATCACTAAATATCACAATTGACTCATTTTTGTGCAAAAAGTAGGCCCCAGATTTGAATTTCCACAGTAGCCTTTATTAACCAATCAGCGACGTTATTCCAAACGCTCTTAAGGTTTTAAAATTTCAGACAACTACGTTTTTTTTTGTTTGTTTGTTTGCTACGAAATTGGTGAGATCACTTCAGAAAATGATCAGCAATATTTTCCCTCCTAAAAAAAGATATTTTCAAATTGGGAAAAATATTTCTTAACCAATAAACTTTTAAGTCTAGTAACTCTTTTAGCTTCCGTGATCCATTTTTTTTATCTATTCATATTCGTCGCGTTAAGTTACTATTTCAATTTTCATTTTTTGGGTAAACCTTTTACCCAAGGTTGTTGTTTTGTGTACAACTGATTACTCACATCTTTCGTATAATTAATTACTCAACATTTCACATATTTATCGAATAACTTCTTGCAATATCCTCGAGATTTTAAGGTAAAATAAGCACACATTAAAGCATACGAACGGAGTTACGTCAGCAAAAATCCTAGTAGTAGTTAAAATATTTTTCAGATTGCTAAAAAATTGCACGCATTCATAAGACAACGTTAATACGTGACATTCATCTTAAGTGGACACATTCTATTTTCTAAAGTGTTGTAAAAAAAAAAAAAATTTGTGTGACTTTGTTCCGCGAGGACATTTGTAATTCGTTTCTTTCAACTTGAAAGAAAACAAATACTCAATAATAAAATTTATAAAGTTGTGTTTAAACATTATTTCTGTCCGCCTTTACCTCTGCAAATATATGTAAATGTGTTTGTATGTTTGTATGGGTGTATCTGTGTGTGTGTGTGTGTTTGAAATTCATTATATTTATAGAAGGAGAGTGCTCGATATTGGACTTAGTGTGTTTATAAATATCTATCTATCTAGATCTCGCTCTGTATATATATATATATATATATATGTGAAAAGTGAATATAAATATAAATAAATATATATATATGTATAATTATTTATATATTATATGCGGTACTTATTAGAAAGCGCTCAATATCAGAGATAGAGCTAACATATTTGTTGGTTGGATAGTTTGTGGTTTTTGTGACAAACCTGGGTTTTTAAAAATTTTTTATGGTGCTTTATTGGTAATTGTTATTGTGGAAGTGGTGGGGAGATGGGGAGAGGGACAAACTGACAACTGTTTTCCCCAAAAATAACACCAATACACGCAATCTACATAAACCCAAATTTTTTTAAAACAGTAATCAGTTTGTCTGACGATGGGCTAAAGCGTGAATTTAGGTCACAAAACTCACATCTATCCAACCAAATATATATATATATATATGTGTGTGTGTGTGTGTGTGTGTGTGTGTGTGATTGTGTATGTATTTATAGATATCTATATCTATATGCGTGTTTATAGATATCTATAAACACACTAATTCTAATATTGGGCACTCTATTATTGTGAAAATTTAGCGAATTACAGTCACTATTGTTGTTATCTATTCATCTACCTGACTACTGATCGATATATAGATTTAGACAGTATAGTTATAGAAATCAACAGCGCATGTTGACTGTCAGTTTCATGCTTCGATGCTATTTTTAGACCACGTCCGAAGATCCCATTGAAGCATAAAATTCAGTTTGAAGATCGCACTGCAACAATTACTATGCAATGTTGGTTCCTATGTCCACACTGCTTCTCTCTGTCTGTCTGCCTCTCTCTTTCTGTCTTTCTGTCTCTCTCTCTTTCTCTATGTCTCTTTCTGTCTGTCTGTCTATATATATATATATATATATATAAATATATAAAAGTGAACATAGAAGTCAACACTTAGAGGCGACAGTCTGTTTCATGCTATATGCAATCGTCAGGCCACATGTTCACTTTTTATATTTACACGCTCTATCTCTGATATTGAGCACTTTATTCCATAAATATGGCATACCTTAAGACTTTATATTATATATATTATATATATATATATATATATATATATATATATATATATATATAACCACATCAATATCTCGTCAGTCGTTTCTAACGAAACTTGTAGATATATATGTATATACGATGTACTTCGGTTAAGTTTTTTTTTATTTAGTTTTTCTTGTCTTTTTATAATTTCTTTCTTTTTCTGGACATAAATTATGTAGAAATTGTCCGAATGTTCTGTAATTCCGACCGCGTTCGTCTATACATTTTTTTTTATTATCAAGGATGATTTTATTTTTACTTTCAAATGTATGGATTTTTTGATGTAGAGGTTGCGACTTGTAAATTGTCGCCATTTTATATTTTTAATTTCACGCAGGTGCGTTGTTTGTTTTTGATTTTGTCGACTACACAGTATATTAGGGCCAGTTGTAAGAAAAAAAGAGCACAATGACGTAATTCACACCGCCAAAAATTTGAAAATGGCATGCTTGGAATTCGCGCCGGAAACATTTCAAAGTATTTTGTTGTCAATCTGAGAACAGTGCAGGGGATTAGGAAAGAGTTGGATGAGTTTAATGATGATTACGAAGGTACAGCAGTGAAGAAAACTCACTCATCGTTCTGATAAGAAATGAACTGCCGAATTTGTTGGTGAAGGCCTCAGACACAACACGGAGGCCTACATCAAGTACCTTGGGGAAGTTGCTCGGACTTGGGTAAGAGAGTTCAAGATCGTTTACGTGACTCATAGGAGGACGACCTATTCTCCATTTTACAACAACTTTCACAGACGCGACATCGCAACCCTATCGCTTTTCTATATCCATTTCCATGGCAAATGTACAGAAGAGTTCCATTATTTAGTTTCACAAATTCAGACCTTTACATCTAGGACACACCATGGTACTTCCACGGAGTTGAATTACCCTAATTTCCCCTGTACTCCCCGCCCAGAACAGCTACTTTTTGGAACAGACACCTGTGTGGATGCGTCCCTGAACACTACAGTCTTACCCACTCAAGGGTCAGTCGTTATCTGCCCTATTTATCCTCATAATTTTCACCTCCTGTTTCATTGATAGCACACACCTCATTCAACATAGGCATTTTAACAATAACCCTCTAGCTTGAATTGATTTCGAGCCTTGTATTAAGTGAGCTTTATTATAAAAAACTAACTAGGCGAGAATTTTAATGTGGGTTGCCGATTCCATTTTCTGCACCGTTAACCGTTACCTTACCAATACAACTCTATGAACATTTGAACCTTGTATAGGATTCAAATGTGGTTGCCGCTACGATACAACCATATTAATTTTTTTCTACGGCCAAACTATGATCTAGAATTGGAATAGAAGCAGTAATGGCACATAAACTGAATCCATCATAAAAATTCAGGATGTGGAATTAGTAAATACTAAACACTTCAGATACTTTGGTGTATGGATCAGTTATAACAAATTTAGTAGAGGCGATAAGGAAAGTTGAAATAGAATAGGCGGCGCCAGGAAATGTTTTGCCCAACACCACAAAATGCAACAAAATCAAAACATTAGCCTAAAAACTCGAGTCAAGTTCTTAAATATCCTCATCAGATTGAAATTTTTATATGGATGTCAGACATGGCGCCAAATCCATTCAGAAATATCTAAACTGTCAGCTGTATACAAACGTTTTCTCAGATCAAGGATTAAAAATGGCTTTGAGCGAGTGAAGCGTCTGAGTCTTGGCAAAGATCACCCTTCTTCGGACCACAGGCACTGGCATTGCAGAATCACTGTACCATATAACAGAAACCACATTATGAGAAATTTAAGCTGATTGAGCATATATCTTCTGCTTTTCTGGAAGAAAACAGACACTGTTTTAGGCTCTAGCTTGAAAATATTGACTTTCAAAAACATTTTGCGTCCTTCTGATTTGTGAAAAAATAGCGGCGTGGGCTTTATTTTGGCACCAATCAGAAGGCTTCATTTTGGCACCAATCAGAAGGCTTCATTTTGGCACCAATCAGAAGGCTTCGCTCCAAATCCCAAGACACAATCTGGAACTGGTCTTAAGAAATGAACTTAATTGAATTGGACACAGAGGACGAGGGAGGAAGAGACGACAACATCACCTGCTTTACATCACAGTGTAGGTCTGTCATTCGGTTCAGGAGTCGAGTTAAGTTGCTGGTTGAATCCAGGTCACTCCGGTCAAGAACAACGACATAGAAGAAATTTGATACCGCCCGCTGAGGATTGAAAGAAAACCGATGTCACTGCATCATCTAAGGAGAATTCATTGACTGGTGGGAAATCATTTCTTCACTGTCGCTACGGACATTGTATCTACTACTTGAAAAGCATTCAGAAAAGTACAAACTTTCCCTTTTCTATATTTGTTTTAATGTCGTTTGACTTTCTGGGGACCTAATGTAGCATATTTTATATTTTTATTGTAAATCAGCTTACTTTGTAGTATATCCTTTATTGTAAAATGTATGATTCTATATCGTTTATTGTAAAAAAAAAAAAGGAATATTTTTTGCACTATATACTTTTATTTGCATTATATATTTTCTATTTGTATAGACATGTTATTGGCCAGTATTGGCACACAAAGCATTTCATTTGTGTAATTTCATTTTGTTTTTTCAATAAATTTAACGTATTTCTCTCTTTTTAAAACTTGGCTCGTGTCGTCTGTCTTTATCGTGTGCTTTGGCTTTACATAAACGTTTGCCACAAACATTGTGTGTACTACGATACCCATCTGTCGTAGAGTTTTTGCTAAAAAACAATCCTATAACATCATTTGAGGACTTTCAACAAATGCAACAACTAAAATGGATAGCATATGTAAGTCGAAGAGAAAATAGTGGCCTAATAAATTGTAAAGCCATAATTTTCTATTACTTTATGGCAATATTTCAACAAGATCTAATTGACTATTGTTAATTACTTTTATCCATGTCCCTGTTAAACACACTTCAAAGGCACCTAGTCTAACATATAATATAGAAACAGTTAGACAGAAATCCGCTTTTTATTGAACACCAAGAAAACTTTAAGATTCTGACATCTTAGGAAAAATACTTAAAAAGAAAGACTGCTTGAACTAAAACATCTCTCAGACCAGATGCAGTCCTTGAGCTTGGCAATTTCCTGTAAGTTTAATTATGTCGGGCTTCAAATTAGACAATGATATACAAAGGTCACCTTTTGTTGCGATGTCAATTCTGTTCTTGGATTTTGTCAAGGAAATTAACTTGTCGAGTTCACACTGGACTAAAATATTTTGCTCCTTTCATTTTAGCACTCTCCACTTTTCTTACATTTTGCAGTCTATATCCCCTTTCATAGGTACCAAGGTTTCTAAAGGAAGCATATGTTAAGAATGGTGTTTTAGAAAATGCAGACCTATAGATGACAGTTTTAAAGAATATATTTTCAGGGAGAAAATCGATGCTAAATAGTTGGCCGGATATTTTTTCTCGACGAGATCTTATCCACTTCTTTGTGCCGTGTCCCTTCAGGACGTAGGTGATCATGGCTCTCCATTTCTTCCTGTCCCTTGTAGCTCTAAATAAGCTTTGTCCTTTTGTTATTTCTCCCAGATCCTGTTCTGACATTCACTTGCTTAAGCTCGTTAATTATGTCACGCGTTGCTTTCCCTTGTCCCTCTATCCGCCCTGGAAGTATCAGATTTTCCAAGCCCTCCCTCCTCATTACGTGTTCCTAGAAATTTTAGCTGCCTTCTCCTGGTGTTAAGTATAAGTTTCGTCTTTGTTTACAATTCTCTCCATAACCTCATCTTTGCTCACATCATCGGTCCATGATATCCCTGGTATACTTTAGCCGAACAAAAAAACATTATTATTATTATTATTATTATTATTATTATTATTCTTGCAAAAGAAGCATCTTTCGCTTATTTCCTCTTCCTCTCAAATTACAGCTTTCTTGTCTTCCTACTTCATCACCTCCGTCTTCCTCTACTTCTTTTCTCCCCCTTTTCCCTTCTTATTCTGTTTATCACCCTCCTACTCTTATCTTTTTCACCTATCCTGCACCTCCTCAACCTCCCCCTTCTTCTTCTTTTCACTCCTTTGTATCGCTTAGTAAATTTTATCTTTTTGTTATCTCTTCCAAAACCTGTTCTGCCATTCAGTTACGCAAACTCGTTAGGTAGGTTACACGTTCATTACCTTTGTCCGTCTTCAGATCAATATATGTTGCGTGTCAAATTTTCCAAGCACTAGAAATTTCAACTGCCTGTTTCCTATGTTAAGTAAATGTGTTCTTTTTGTTCACATCGTCTCTAAAACTTCCTCATTACTCACATGTTCAGTCCATGTTATTCTCATCTTTCTTCTGTAGAACCACATTTTTTGCCTCACGTCTCTTCTTTATCTTTGAGGAGATTGTTCCGCATTCACTGCCATATCTTCTTTTATGTGCCGTATCCCTTCAGGACGTAGCCGATCATGGCTCTCCACCCCCCCCATCCCTTGGAACTCTCTATAAGTTTTGTCCTTTTGCTACTTCTCCCATACTCTCTTCTGTCTGCAACTTGCTAAAGCCCGCTAGGTATGTCACGCGTTGCTTTTCCTTGTCGATATTGAGTCACCCCCCCCCCCCACGAGGGTGTCATGTGGCACAAGGCCTTTTTAACGTGGGCATTCCCGAGCCATTAGGCTCGGCCAAAAAATAGCCCATTTGAACCCGTATAAACGGGTTCAGGGCCGGTTTTACCTCCCCGAAGGAGACTCCGCCCTTCGGCGTAGCCTCCTTCGGGTTAGAATACTACTACTCATCTTGCTTTTCCTTGTCTCTCTTTCGCCCTGTGAGTATCAGATTCTCCAAACCCTCCTATCTCATTTCAGCTGCCTCTTTGTGATATTAAGTATAAGCTTCCTCCTCGTTACCAAAACCTAATCGCTGCTCAAAATATCGGTCCATGGTATCCTTAGCATCCTTCTGTAGAACTATACCTCCGTTGCCTCGAGTCTCTTCATCTTTGAGGAGATTGTCCAACATTTGCTGCCGTAAAGGAGGACAGATATCACATACCAGTTCAGTACTCTTTTCTTTATTATCAACCAAATCCTGCTGTTTCGTAATATTCTGCCTAGCTTTTGGAATGTGTCTTTGGCCATCCCAAATTACGTATTCGGATCTCAGCGTTGCACTCACCGTTCTCTGTCAGAACGTTTCCCAGAGCGATTTTAGTGTTCCCGACCTCTAAATCGCATTTCGGGCTCATCTGTTATATAGAAGGACTCATATTACTTAACAGTTCAGTACTGTTTTCTTTACTTCTGTTACCTCAAGCCTCTTCTTCATGTGTAAGGCTATTTCCAACATTTACTACTATATTGGAGGACTAATATTGCATAACAGTTCAGTACTCTTTTCTTTGTTTCTAACAAAATTTTTCTGTTTATTAATACTTTAGGTGGCATAAATTCACGATAAAAGCGTCGATGGTCGCATAGATGCATGCAAATAGGCAACAACTCAAGGCCACGTTATCTTCGTCGTTATATTTATTAGTCGACAGTTAGATAAATGGAACATGCGTAATGATGGAAAGAAGCCGGGGGGTTGCAACTGATCGTGAGTCCGTTTGTTCGGTGAAATGATGCTGCCGTTATCCGTTTTGTATCAAAGGGGATATAAATCAATCTGATCACATTGTAACCTTTTGTGCTTTTTGTTGTTGCTGTTGTTATCTCTACATATTTGTTCTTAGTTGTTTTGGTTTTTTTTTTATATACTGAGGTGGTATTTCTAAAATTAGATATTTTAATTGGTGGGAAGGAGAGAAAGTGAGAGATAAAAGGAGCAAAAGTAGTGACAGATGAAAAAAAAAAAAAAGAAAAGAAAAATGACAGATACACGTGTAGTCACACAGATCAACACGCAGATACACCCACGGGCACACACGCAAACTTGAGTGCACACATTAGAAACACACACGCAAAACACACGCAAAACACACGCGTACGATTCCCTTCTATTGACGTATTGAATAATGACGTAATAATGTCGTTTTTTGACGTATTTTTTAACGTCAAAAAACGACATTATTACGTCATTATTTTTGCACCAACCTAATATTAACAATTCCAAGTCATTATTCATTACACCACCCGCACATCCAAGCTTACAACACCGGATATTCCCAAGTGGTCACCCATCTAGTTACTGATCAGGCTCGATGTTGCTTGATTTTGTTGATCGTACAGGAAGTGATGTTTCAACACGGAGATGCATAGAGGTAAATATATGCAGTTGCACATAATTAGCAGACACACCTACACAAACGCGTATAAGAATGTGGATTCAAGCATTTTCTTAATCATTTCACCCCAAGCAAGACAATAAAGTCACTAAGATGCAAGGCGTTAGTGAATGTGAGAGAATATGAGAAAGAAAAAAAAACACCATTAAGAAGAGAGAACAATAAAAGAACAGGAATTAAGAAGACAAAAGGTAACGGTTAACACTGCATTTAAATCTTTGAAGATCAAAGTTGATTGGAAAGCAAGAAGGCTGAAGAGAGTTCCACAAGCGAGAAGTGTGAGAGACGAGAGAAGAAGCTCTTAGCATAGAACTTACGGTTACATCTAGCTAACTCAATTGTGATTCGTCGTAATTGATCTTGCTAACGATTATACTACCTCGAAGTGCTCTAAATATGCTTTACTAAGCATAACTTTCATTTGGTACAATACCGCAAGTATAAAGCACCCATTTAGGAACTTATATATACATATATATTATATATACAATATTTCTTTTTTATTACATATATTTTTTAAATTGTATTACTTTTGTTTATGTTTATGAGTTTTTTATGATTTTTCTTTAATGGATAGATATATTTAATGGCGACAGACTTGAGATGAAAATTGAAGAGTTACACATCAGCATGAATTTAAACAAACCCATTCTGTCTCACAGACATTAATCAAGTGTTGGTTTAAAGGATTACTTCAGAACGCACAGTGTGTCGTTTCAAAATGAAAATGTGCGTGGGTCTCAAAGATAAAAAAAAGGGTGATAACGCCCTGCTTCAGTTGCAAATGATCGATTTAATAAAAAAATTAATCCTCGCCAAACGCACTCGAAAAACTGTCTCTAATCAAACGGTTTAAATTCCAGCACACTATGTGTTCAAAATATTTAGATTTCGGCATTAAGTAGCCCATAGAGGTGTTGATGTGCCACTAAATAAAATTAACTAAGCAACAATACCTATTTATAGTAAAATAACCAATAATACATATTTAAAGCAAAATGAACAAACGATATATATTATCATTTAGATATTTAGATTTCGGCATTAAATAACCCATAGTGGTGTTGATATGCCGCTAAACAAAATCAACCAACCAACAGAGCGCTTTAAATAAATTTGGACATTTCGTCTAGTCAGAATAATTACGACTAAGTAGTGAGTTCGATACTGACTGGGTGCTCCATACTTTCGGCCTTGTGCCACATCTAAGCTACGCTCAGAAAATCACCATTGTAAGTAAATTCGAAGAACAGCAAAGAAACTTGGCAAGTGGATGTTACAGGAATTCACCGAAAATAAAAACAAATCACATTTTGTCAGTGATTTTGTCACAGATAAAAATGGTTCACTTCTTCATGAAAAGTAGGTTCCGCTAGAAACAATCTGCACACTAACTTGACCACGCCGTAGCTTCAGGGTAATTTCTAAAGCTAATGTCGCAACAATAAAAATGTTATGGTCACTATATGGTGACCGAAAGAAAATTACAAAAAGCCCTACAGAAGGTAGTGAAAGGAAAGCGAGCAGAAAGGATTAAACCTCAACTGCAAGAAGATAGAATGCATGATTGTTAGCAAAAGGGACAGACCAACATGCAAATTACAAATTGGAGATAGCAAAATCAAACAAGTACAACAATTTAAATATCTAGTAAGTGTTTTAACTGAGGACTGAAAGTGCGACACTGAAATAGGAAGGCGCATTGGGATAGCGAAAGATGCCTTCCAAAAGCTAAGCAGTGTATTAAGAAATTGAATAAATCGCTTAAAACAATGAAAAGCGTACTAAACTGCTATGTTATATCTGTCCTCCTGTATGGCAGTGAATGCTGGACAATCTCTTCATAGATGAAGAAGAGACTTGAAGTAACAGAAATGTGGTTCTGCAGAAGGATGTTGAGGATACCACAAACTGATTATGTGGGCAATGACGAAGTTTTAAAGAAAATAGAAACAACAAGGAAACTTAAACTTAACATCAGGAAGTAACAGTTGAAATTTCTAGGCCACATAATGAGGAAAGTGGGATTGGAAAATCTGATCCTCACAGAACAGACTGAAGATAAGAGGGACACAGGAACACAACGCATACCATAATTAATGAGCTTGAGTAAATGGTTGATGGAATAAGGATTAGAGGGTATAATAAAAAGACAAAAATTATTAAGAGCTACAAAGGACACGGGATTGTGGAGAGCTATGATCGTTCATAAAAAAGTATGTCATTAATATTTGTAATGACAAGAATTGGAAGAAGTATACAAAAGATTGTGTAAGATAAAAGCAGCATGAATTAGTCGAAAGACATTGGTTTTTTGTCCATGATAGTACTTGGCGCTAGTTTAGAAGATTTACCCGCCAAAGTGTTTCGAAACTTTATCTCATCCTCCATATTTTCAAGATTTAAGCAACCGTTTAACATTTTCTAATTTTTAGACAACTTAAAATAGGAAAGATAGAAAAAATCTTTACAATGATGTTTTTGGAATCTGAGTCCGAAGAATCGGGAAGCATAGAAGCATTTTTCGCAGGTAAAAATTATAAGCGTATGTTTAAATAATGCTAGTTGTAAATAAATTTACTGATATTAATGTAGGAACCTCCACAAAAAAGCAATCCCTAAGGTTTAAAATGAAGTTTTAAAAATGAAAAATCTTTCTTGAAGTTTTTATTTTAATTTCAAGCTAATAGATTAAATTTAATATTTCCAATAGGCAAAATACTTTGCTGTATTTTAAAAACTAATTTAAATTGACTGGAAGGAATTTATTTTTATTTCGCCAAAATTAGCCGTTTTTCATAGCA